GTTCGAGGAGGCGCCGCGGCAGGCGTGAGCGGCGCCCGCGGCCGCCTCCTTCCCGCCGCTCCGGCAGGGACACGCTGGGCTCGTCGGCGCCGCGCCGCACGGACGCGCTCCCTGTTCCGAGGCGTCCGCAGGAGCACGGTGGGCAGGCCAGAGCGCTTCCGCGCTGCTTTTCTTTGCAACGGTGGTTTCCAGAGGAGCCCACGCTGCTTTTCCTCCTTTCCGAGGTGACTTTTGCTCCTTACRTGAGGAATAGGAGGGTTTGTGGGTTTCCCGCCCGAATCCTTCTCCTGCATCAACCCTCCCCTGCGCTTTGGCCCTGGTCAGAGTCCGGAGAAGGAGAAGAGCGTTGGGAAGGAAGGGGGTCGCCCGGCGCCTCCCGCTGCTGCCCCGGCCCGGGACCATCTGCTCTCAGCTTCGCAGTTAGCGCACGGAGCGCGAATCCACCCCGGACTTGTCTCGGAGGGGCTTCGCTTTGTGGTGTTGGTTTTCTTCCTCCTCCCTCTTCCGTTCGTATCCCGGGAAGGCAAAGCCCCCGGGAGGAGCCGGTGCCCCCGGACACTGCTCCACTAATCCATGCGTCACGTTAGACTAGAAGCCGGAATTAGTTTTTACAGTGGGGCACTCGCCACCGCCTCCTCTGGCACCAGGTTTTATTTCCTGCAGGTAGAAGAGTATGGGCTCAACCCTTCTGTTTTCCTTCCTCTGTGTTGCTGGACTTTAATTTTGGGGTTGTTTTGGGTTTTTTTGTTTGGATGGAGGGGATGCTCCCTGGCAAAGCTTCCCGGATGCGCCAGCCCCAGGCGGCTCCTGCCCCGCTGGGCGCTTCCCAGGCAGGGCACRTGGGCTGACAGTGTCGTGATTTATTTTTTTAAAGGACCACATACAAGAAGGTTTTGTCAACCAGGAAAAAAAAAAGGCAGAAATTTCAGTATCAATAAACAGTTCTTTCAAAGAGAGCTGCTCGGCTCGTCCCTGAGCCCACGGGGCCCGAGAAGCCACCGGGACTTGTGTTTGGGACAGGTGAGCTGAGCCCGGGCTCCCGCGCCCGGGGACGCTTCCTTCCCTGTAAAAAGATTTGATTTGAGGGGAGRACAGGGGCTTTGGTGACCCTCAGCCCGCTGCCTGGAGAGCCAGAGGGGACAGGGMGCTCCCGGGCCAGGCAGTCCCTCCTTCTTGGGGCGGCCCATGTGGCTCAGCAATCCCGACCCCCTTCCCTTCTCCACCCGAGCTGGAATGGGGGGACACCCCCGGGAACAGCCCTTGTTAAACGCACCCCCCARCACGAGTAAGAAACAGGGCGGGCCACAACCTCCCCGCGGTCCCCGGGGCCACCATCCTGTGCTGTAGCTGCCCGATATCTTTATTGGATAAAAGCTCTGGATACAGAGGCGGTCCCAGGCGCCGCTCCCGGCTCTCCGGCCCCGCGGAGAGCTCCCACTCGGCCCGCGGCTCCGGGTGCCATCCCGCTCGTGCACGGACCAGCCGGGGCCCCGCAGCCCGCCAGCCGGTTCGGTACCACGAGGCGGCGGGCTCGACGGGGAGGAAATCCTGAGTGGGGGGCGGCGCGAGCCCCTCGCGTGGCTCCGAGGCTCCGATCCGAGACGCGGCGGCCAGCGGAGCCGGCGGCCCCGTCAGTGCTGGCTCCGCTTGCGGTACAGGTACGCGTTGCTCACCTGGCTCATCACCACGAGGCTCGTGAGCACGGGGCAGAGCATGAGGAGGTACCAGGCGGCGCCGGTGACGGCCGCCGTGAACCACAGCGAGCACATGCCCAGCATGAGGCTGGCGCAGCCCAGCAGGTAGCCCACGAGGCCGGCCGTGGCGTGGTACAGCTTGAGCTTGGCCAGCGTCCAGCTCTTGGCCAGCTGCGGGTAGAGCAGCAGGAGGCCGCCGGCGCTCTGCGCGGCCGCGTAGAGCACGGCCAGCAGCCCCGTGCGCCCGTGCCACGTGCCCAGGTGCGCCTTGCCGTGCAGGTGCTTGTTGTAGGCCACGGCGGCCAGGCCGAGCAGCGCGCAGAGCAGCGCCAGCAGCTGCAGCGCCCAGTGCGCGCGCGCCTTGGCCTTGCGCGACAGCGAGCGCAGCGGCGAGCTCTCGGGCGAGAACACGAGCAGCGCCTCGGTGAGCAGCAGCGAGAACTGCGGGCGGCAGGGCGGCCGCGTCGCTACCGGCTCCGCCGCGGGGAGAGGCCTCGCGCGCGCGGCCGCACTTACCGCCAGCGCCATGAGCAGCGGGTGCCACGAGAAGAGGCCTGCAAGGCAAGGGCGGCCGTGAGGCCTCGCGCGGCGCGAACCGGATGGAACCGGCGCCAGCCGGATGGAACCGGCGCGAACCGGCTGGAACCGGCGCCAGCCGGATGGACCCGGCGCCAACCGGATGGCGCCGCCGCACTCACTGGAGCCGGGCCGCGCCGGCAGCGCCACGGCGGCGGGGAAGCCGAAGGCCGCGGCGTGCGCGGCGGCGCCCGAGGCGGCGCGCATTGGCCCCCGCGCGCGTCCGTCCGCGCCGCGGCCCGCCCCCACGCCGCTGCGGGCGGCGATGAGTGGTGGAGGGGGCTGTCGCTCAGCGGCAAGTCCCGCCTTCCGTGACGCAGGCGCGTCCTGTCAGCGAGCACGGGCAGCGCTACGGGAGCCGGCGCGGGGCAGCGCAGGGCGCATGCGCGCTGCGCCCGCCGCCCCCTCCGGTTCGGTCCCGTTGGGTCCCGTTGGGTCCCGTTGGGTCCCGTTGGGTTCCGCGCCATGGGCGGCAGGATCGAGTGCGTCTTTTTCAGCGAATTCCACCCCACGCTGGGGCCCAAGATCACCTACCAGGTAAGACTGGGCCCACGGCGCTGGGGGGAGGCCTGGTTGTCTCACAGAACCGAAGCGGACCGGGCCGAACCGGGCCGCGCTCCCTCCCTCAAGGTGCCCGAGGACTTCATCTCGCGGGAGCTGTTCGACACCATCCAGGTGTACGTGATCACCAAGCCCGAGCTGCAGAACAAGCTCATCACCGTGTGAGTACAACCCGACGGCACCGGTCCCGGTCCCGGTACCACCGGCGGCACCGGGCCGCCGGTGCATCCCGCGGCGCCGCTTTCCCCGGCAGGACCGCCATGGAGAAGAAGCTCATCGGCTGCCCGGTGTGCATCGAGCACAAGAAGTACAGCCGCAACGCGCTGCTCTTCAACCTGGGCTTCGTGTGCGACGCGCGCGCCAAGGCCTGCGCCCTCGAGCCCATCGTCAAGAAGCTGGCCGGGTACCTCACCACGCTCGAGGTATCCCCGCGCCGGGCCCCACACGCCGCCCCGTAGCACCGGGGCCACCGCCGACACCGCCTCTGCCCCCCGCAGCTGGAGAGCGGCTTCATCTCCAACGAGGAGAGCAAGCAGAAGCTGGTGCCCATCATGAGCATCCTGCTGGAGGAGCTCAACGCCAAGGGCAAGTGCACGCTGCCCATAGGTACGGATCCGTCGGGCGCTGGGGAGCCGGCCGCCCGCGCCGCGCGGCGCTCAGCGCCTCTTCCCCGGGCAGATGAGTCCAACACCATCCACCTGAAGGTGATCGAGCAGCGGCCCGACCCGCCCGTCGTGCAGGAGTACGACGTGCCCGTYTTCACGCAGGACAAGGAGGATTTCTTCAATTCCCAGTGGGATCTCACCACGCAGCAGGTAGGTCRGTGCCCTTAACTGGCCCCATTCCCGGGCCACCACGCGGATCCCGTTATTTATCACGGATTAGCGTTGGGGTTGCAGCCCCAACTGCAGCCTTGGGCAGCCCGTCCTGCCCTTCCCAGGATGCTCCCAARCCCCGGGGAGCTTTGGGGCTCCGGAGCGACGCCTCGGGCGGCCGCACTGTCCTTTCCCTGGAACTCCTGCGCTTCCTGCTCTGCTCCCCTCCTAGATTCTGCCCTACATCGACGGCTTTCGGCACGTGCAGAAGATCTCCGCGGAGGCCGACGTGGAGCTGAACTTGGTGCGCATTGCCGTGCAGAACCTGCTGTGAGTGAGGGGAAAGGCTCCCAGCCTGCTCGTTTTCCTGCCCATTCCTCCGCGGGAATTCCCTCTGGCCCTGGAGGTTGTCTCTACATTCCCTGTTTCCCTGCAGGTACTACGGAGTCGTCACGCTCGTCTCCATCCTCCAGGTGGGTGAGGCTACCAAGAGGGACCGGCGGTGCGGGAAGGGCTGGGGTATCCCAAGTGTATATCCCTGTTCCATGGGGAATTTGGCTGAGCTTCCATATCCCCAATTCCATGGGGAATTTGGCTTTTCCCATGCCCCGTAGTACTCCAACGTGTACTGCACCACGCCGAGGGTGCAGGACCTGGTGGATGACAAGTGTCTCCAAGAGGAGTGTCTCTCCTACGTCACCAAGCAAGGTACCTGGGATGTACGGAGTCCTTGGGATGCGGGAACCCCCCTCGCTGGCCACCCACGTTGTGGGGGTGCTGGCGACAACAGGGGCGCCTGTTTCCGCAGGGCACAAGCGCGCCGGCCTCCGCGACGTCTTCCAGCTGTACTGCGGCCTGAGCCCGGGCACGACTGTGCGGGACCTCATCTCCCGCTACACCCTGCAGCTGCAGCGCGTGGACGAGAGGTCTGAGGCGGCGCTGCTTTCCCGCATCCGGAAATCCGGGGATCTGGATCCCGGATCCCCTCCTTCGGTCTCCTGTTGTCCCCAGGAGGCTCATCCAGTTCGGCTTGATGAAGGGCCTGATCCGGCGGCTCCAGAAGTACCCCGTGAAGGTAGCGCGGGACGAGCGGAGCCACCCGGCCCGGCTGTACACGGGCTGCCACAGCTACGACGAGATCTGCTGCAAGACGGGTGAGGAGCACAGGGGGGCTGTGTCCCCGCGGCGGGGCTGTGTCCCCACCGGGGACTGTCACCGTGAGGCAAAGCCCGTGAGCCTGGTGCTGTGTCCGCATTGCGGGTCTCCCCTGCTCCTTCGTGGATGTTAATGCTGCGGGGAGCCCCGGCTTGCAGCTGGAGGTGGGACAGGCTCCTGCTGCCGGAGGGGAGGAAGGGGACATCGTGGCGGTGGACGGGAGGAAGGGGACATCGTGGCGGTGGACGGGAGGAAGGAGACACCGCGGCGGTGTCACCGCGTGCTCACGCCACCTCTGCCTCCCCCAGGCATGAGCTACAAGGAGCTGGACGAGCGCCTCGAGAACGACCCCAACATCATCGTGTGCTGGAAGTGACTGTCCCCTTGCCCCCCCCCGCCCCCGCCGTGTCGCCGGTGCCACCAACACCCGCCCCGGTCACCGTCACCGCGTCCCCAGCGGAGCCGCCGCCGCGCGCGGCGCTTCTCCCGCGCCGCCAGGGGGCGCCGGACAGCGCATGCGCACACCCCCCCCCGGCGCGTTGCCACAGCGACGCAGCGCGTCGCCACAGCGACGCCTCACGTTGCCACAGCGACGCGACCGTTAACGGCAGGACGGAGCCGGCGCCATGATGGAAGCGGCGGCCGAGCTGCCGCTGCTGCCGCCCGCCGAGGCCGAGGCGCTGGTGCAGGCGCTGCGGGGCACCGAGCTGCGCGACGCCGGCGGCGCGGGGTGCGCGCTGGGGGCGCCCGCTGGGCCCCGTTTTAGGGGCTCGGCCCGGAGGCGGCACCGCGTTTGGCCAGGGGCAAACGGACGTTGGGGGGTGTGGGCCGCCCCGCAGGTGGCTGCGGCAGCACGAGGCGGTGGAGAAGCTCAACATGCACGCGATCCTGAGCGCGGCGGCCGGCCGTGAGCAGCCCCTCACCGAGCTGCTGCTCAGCCACGGCAAGGTGAGCGCGAGCGTGCGGCGAGACCGGCCCTCGGCGCCACTTCGTGCGCGGCTGCCACATGGAATAAACTGCCCTCTGTGCCTCTCCGGGTTCTGTCGTGCCGCCCCAGTTCTCCCCCTGTCATGGGGTTCGATGCCCCGCTTCCAGGCTGCCCAAGTGCCTCAAGCTGCCCATAGTGCCCAGGGTCTCTAGAGTACCCTTTTCTGCGAGCCTGGAAGCGTTTTCTGCCATCAGCAGCAAAAAAATGCTGTTTTTTGAGCTCCCTGGCTACAGATATGCGGGGGCCGAGTCCCTGTACCCACAGGCTGCAGCTCTCCCCCTTGCAGCTCCATTTCCCAGCCCGACTGGTGCCTTGTGGCATCCTTGGTAGATGCTGGGTGCTGTGACTGGGCTGAGTTTGCCACAGGGCGCTGGGCATTGGCCTGGCCGTGCCCCTGGCCCTCTTCCAAAGGCTTCAATACCACCCCCGTGCCTCCCCTCYCCAGATTCCCGTGCTCATCGGGGAGCTCATCACTGTGGAGTTGTGGAAGCACAAGGTCTTCCCGGTGCTGTGCCGGCTGGAGGACTTCAAGCCCGTGAGCACCTTCCCCATCTACGTGGTGGTGAGTAGGGGCGGCCTTGGGTGTTTGAGAGCGGATAAAAAGCCTATGGCTACTATGACTTGATAGCTGCTGGGCTGCAAAGCCACTGTGGACATTGAGACAGCGGGAAGCAGCTGCTTTCCCGATCTTGGGAATGTGGCTGCCCTATGCRGGGGAGCAGCTCTTGAGCTAGGACCGTCTGTCCAAACCTGGGAAGCGTTTCCCTGCTCTCAGCCCAGGGTAACTGGGGAGAGGTGGTGCCTCTGCTCCTGCTCTGTGGCATTGCCTCGTGGCAGTTATCCCGTGGTTCCCAGCCTCAGGAAGCACYGCTCACGCTGCCCCGTCCTGGCCATAACTATATAAGTAGCTTCTTAAAAGACCTCTGCTCATCATCCCCTTGCCCTGACCTCGCTCTCTCCGTGACCTACTCTTGCCTTTTTGCTCCCGCAGCTGCATCACGAGGCTTCCATCATCAATCTCCTGGAGACGGTGTTTTTTTACAAGGTAAGCCCTGCGTTCACCTTCCCGGAGCCCAGGACACCTAGCCATGGAAGGTCACCTGGGTGACTGTGGGTGTCACCATCTCACCCCGGGACTTTGAATAACCACGTGGGCAGAGTCCGAGGCCCCACGGMGTTATTGTTTGGCCAGTGTAGAAAAGACAAAGGTGCAGGAGGGGAAAAGAGCCCGTAGGAGCCGCCAGGCACCCTTCACCCTGCGCAGGAGGTGTGCGAGGCGGCCGAGGACGGCGTCCTGGACCTCATCGACTACTGCCATCGCAAGCTGACCCTCCTCGTGGCTCGTGGTGCCAGCGGCCGGCCGGCCACGCAGACCCCGCCGGCGGCTCTGCCCGGTCCCTCCTCCGTGCAGGTGAGGGGAGATGCTGCAGCCTGTGGAGCAGAGCCCCTTCCACGGAGGGCTTTGAGGCTGTTCTTACATGCGTCTTGCTGGTACTGGAGCTCTCTGCAGCTGGAATTTTGCTTCTCCACGCCCCATGTTTCTTCCCCAAACTGTTGCAAAGACTGTGCGAAAGAGAGGATTCAAAGCGGGAGCCTGCAGGCTTGGCTGGATCCCTTGGCTCGCCGCCCAGGCATGTGCTTCCCTTCCAGAAAAGGGAAGGAAGCGGAGGGCTTCTGAGCACAATAGGGATGTTTTCCAGGAAATGTTTTCCCAGCTAGGGGGGTCTCTGTTAGAGCTTTGACTGACTAAAGGAAGGGGGATCTTTCTTTGCCCCCGTGTTTCTGAAAAGCGCTCGTCTCCGAGAAACCTGGTTTCCTCTCATTCATCCCAGCTCCTGCTGGCTCTTTGTGCAACCCCCCCTGTGCTAAACAGCCACCCATGCCCTCTCCCTTGTGCTGGAGCCTGTTCTCCTTTACGTCCCTGTGCTGTAACAGCCCTTGGGGGCCAAAAGAGGCCTGGAATCGCGGGCATGTGCTTGCTTCCCACAGGAGCTTCAGGAGCAGGCGGAGACGATGGAGTTTGAGATTTCCCTGAAGGCCCTGTCTGTGCTGCGCTTCATCACCGACCAGGCGGCCAGGTGGGTGCCCAGGAGCCCCAGGGCACACGCGCCAGCTTGAGGTCCCTCTGGGGACACAGCCTTGGGCTTCGTTCAGCRGCAGTGACAGTGACACTGCGCCCCAGCAGGCAAATGCAGCGCTCCTCCCTGCTCCGTGCTGCTGTGGGAACCCTGCTCGGCTGTTACTGTGGTTTTTCCTGCCTCTCACAGGAGGCAGATGGTCAAAACGTGCCCAGGTGCCTCGGGGAGTGTTTGTATCTGCCGTGGCGTTTGTGTGGGAGCTCTGTCACCCTCTCCTTTCATCACCAGCTTGCCCCTGAGCGCGCTGACTCGGCTGCTGAACACCCACAACGTGCCCTGCCTCCTGGTCGAGCTGCTGGAGCGCTGCCCGTGGAGCTGCCGTGAGGCAGGTAGAGGTCGTGTCCTGAGGCTGTTCGCTCTCCTGCCTCCTTTGCAGCCTGCTCCCTGCCTGGAGCACGTCAGCAGCTGCAGCACAGCTGGACTTAGCAGCACTCCCAAAAGCTGATCCCTGTCTTGTCTTATCCAAACGGATCACGGCTAGGGCAGGAGCAGGARTCCAGCACATCCTCCAGCCTCCCCTGCTCCTCCGAGGAGTCACATCCTGAACACAGAAAGACCAGGGCCATTTAAAACCACCAAACACCAGTTTATCACCTCCCTCCTCCTAGAAGGAGGCAGCAAAACTTGACTTCCAAAGAGATGCAACAGTCTCAAGCACCAACACACGCACGTGGGGCAGAGCCGGGCTCCCTGCCTGTCCTGGTGGCTGAGCGTGACCGTGGTGGCAGCACCCGCGCAGGCAGTCCCAGCCCTCTGCACCTTCCTGCAACAGCGAGAGGTTTGGAGCTCCGTCCCCCAGGGCAACACAGCCGTTCTTGGAGCTTGTTTTGTTCCTTTGGTTACATCCCTGCTCCTCCTGGCTTTCACTGAGAGCAGAACCTCACAAACAACAAGTACTGGCTGCGCTGTTGTCCCCAAACCAGGGACAGAGCCCAGGCCAGCGCCTCGAGCTCTCTTTCCTCAGGCAGCCCCGCGTTGTTCCGTCCCCCAGGCGTCCTCAAGAAGTTCGAGAACGGAGCGTGGCACGTGGTGCCGCCAGAGGACCAGCTCAAGATGACCAAGCTCGACGGGCAGGTGTGGCTCGCCCTCTACAACCTGCTGCTCAGCCCCGAGTGCCGCCGCAAATACCACTTTGACGGCTTCAACAAGAGCCAGCTGCTCAAGGTGGGGCCCTGGGGCCGTGGGTTGTGCAGCTCAGGGCAGGGCCTCGCTGGCACCAGGCGCCTCTGGGCATCTCTCCCCATCGCCAGCTCTCCCCACAGCCCCATAACCCAGCCCTGGCTCCCTTATCTCACCCTCGCGGTTCCCTCTTCTCCCTCGCCCACTGCAGCTCCGGGCCTTCCTGACGGATGTCCTGCTCGACCAGCTCCCCAACCTGGTGGAGATGCAGAGATTCCTGAGCCACCTGGCAGTGTCTGAGCCCGCTCCCCCCAAAAAGGATCTCGTCCTGGAGCAGGTATCCCATTTCCTTAGGCTCTTCCCCCTGTTCTGCTTTGAAGCCACCAAGGGCCAAGCACTCATTTCACTCCTACAGCCTCACTGCCAGCTCCTCCCCACTCCCCTTCCTCCCCAAACTTCTCCTGTCCCTCTGGACAAGCCTCCTTTCCTGCTACAGCCGTGGGCAAGCCGGGAGGAAGGCAGCCGCAGCTCGTGACAAAAACAGCCAGTTACAAACAGCTGTCGAGACTGCTTCAAATCTATGGGGCTGTGCGTGTTACTCGCTTGGGCAATTAACCCTCTGCTGAGCGTTTGCAGTCGCTTGCCTGCTGCCTGCTGGAGCTCTCCAGGCCAAGAAGCCCTTTTGGCAGAGGCAGGGCCCACTGAGGGGAGCGTCAAGAGTGGTAGGGACTGTTCAGAGCTCATTGGGCCCTGGAAGTGCCCTCGAGCACTGCACTCGCTCGCTGTCGCCGAGCCAAGCCAAGGAAAGGCCCCTTTTCCCCACGGCTCCTTCTCTTCTTGCTGCCTGGCTATTTTTACTCCGCCAGAGCTGCCAGCGTCTTCCCCCCCGGAGCCTGAGCTCCCTCGGCTGCTCTTGGCTGCTGCTTTCCCTTTCGTGCTCTCCCGGCCCTTCCTTCGCTTGTGTTGGGGGAAGTGATGAGTGGAAAAATCTGCTCAGGCTCGGGAGCACCGAGTTCAAGCTGCGGCTGGAGCTCCAGCTCTGCAGAGCGGCGGGAGCTCAGGGCTTCCTGTTCCGAATCCCAGGCCTCGGGGCTGCATTCCTGATCCCACACATATCCCCCAAGCTCTGGCTTGTTTCATCTCGATGCTTTTTGCCTCTGCTTGGCACATGAGTCCGCCAGAGGCTTGTGCCTCCCTTCTCTGCCCCATTCCCCCCGTATCATGGCACGTTCAATCCCGCACCGAGCGCCACGGCCTTGCCCGTGGTTCCCGCCAGGTTCCTGCTATCCGGGAGCACCTTCTCCAGAAGAACGCGGGCAAGTGGGAGGCTATCGCCAAGCACCAGGTGAAGCACATGTTCAGCCCCACCATGGAGGAGCTGAGGGTCCAGGCACACAGGTTAGAGACTCCAGGCCCTCCCGCCCTCTTCTCCTGCTCCCCTCACACTGGAGGCTCAGGGAGAGCTGGACATGGAGCAGGATCCTGCTGTCTCCTCGGGGACAGCCAGGACAGCTCCTGGCTCCCCATCAGTCGCCCCCCTGCTCTCACTCTCTGCCCGCTGCAGGTGGGCGCAGACCTACAGCCTGGACATGATGGAGGCTCTCGTGCCCGACAAGCCCCGGTGCCGCACGTGCGGCGCCGAGGCGGCCAAGCGCTGCTCGCGCTGCCGCAACGAGTGGTACTGCAGCCGGTAAGGGCCCCGTGGCACCACGCGGGGRCTGCGACGGGGCCAGGGCGGCCCCAGGGATCCCCCCTGAGCGGCCCCGCTCCCCACTGCAGCCCCTGCCAGCTCCAGCACTGGCACAAGCACAAGGCCGCCTGCAAGCTGCTGGTCCCGGGTGACCTGCGCGGGTAGCACGCGGGAACGTGGAGCTGCCCACGGCCAGCAGTGCCGCTCCACAGGGAGCTGCTGGTGCTGCTCCTGCTTGCGGCGCCCTCCACGGACCCCCCTGTGTCCCASGGCACCCGTGATGCTGCACCCACCRCCTCGAGCAGCTCCCGGCCCCGCGCAGCCCGGGGCTCATAAACCGCTTCCTCCTCAGCCTCGGGCTTGTGGGCTGCTTTGTGCGTCAGTCCTCGCCTGCTGCACAAAAAGAGAGCTCCCYGAGGAGCCGCAGGACCCACAGCTGCCCCCCTGGCCCTGCCTGCTCCGGGTGGGGTCTGTGCTGACCCCTACACCGAGACACACAAGAGGATTTGGCCCCTTGCCCTCTCCTACGCGCCTGTTGCTGGAGGAGCAGAGGAAGTGGTTGACACGCCGCCCTCGCCCTRTAGAGCAGACGAGCAGCTCGGGTTCATCTTTGCCGACATCTCACAGGCCTTGCAGCTGTCCCCTCTCTGTGCCCCTGTCCCCTTCCCYGCTCTTAATGGTGCCGTTTGAGCAAAAGGGCCTGTGCCCGTCGCAGTCCTACAGCCAGCAGGTGACCAGCGCTGCCTTTTCCCAGTGCCCAGGATGCGCTGGAGCCATCCCAGGCCCTGCACCTTGTGTCCCATCACGGGAGCAGGGAGCAGCGTCCAGCCCGGGAGCCCCGGGGAGCTGGTGCTGCCCATGTGTGGACCTGCCTCTACCCTTCCCCTGCGCCCGCCCCGGCCCCCTCCCAGCCACCCAAAGCGGTGACGTCTCGGAGATGCTGCCGCCACCGCAGGCTGCAGGAAGCCACCTCGGAGGTGACGGCCCTGGTGTCAGCACAGGAGGCTCGTCTGCCCCCGCCAGCCCCATCTCCCCACGCCAGCCCCGTCTCCCTGCGCACAGGGCTCCTTGCAGCACCCACGGGGCGAGCCGAGGAGAAGCCCCCCGCCGGGAACGAGCTGCTGGGCATCCCAAGAGCTGAGGGCAGCCGGTGCTGTGGACGGTGCCCCTCGCACCCCGGTGGGGACTGTCCCCAGGGGCTGCCCTCGGGGCCGCCGCCGTCCATGCCCCCAGCCCGGCCGTGCGCTCCTCGCCCTGCCTCAGTTTCCCCCCGCGCGGCGCCCGGACGGGGCGGCCCCCGCGGCCGTCCCCGCCCCGGGCCGGTCCCGCCCCAGCCCCAGTCCCAGCTCCAGCGCC